TAATATTATAATTAAATATATAGCAAATTAAAAAAGTGAAGTGTGTTGAAATAATTGCAATTAACACTAAAACTCATGTATTGCGCATTTCAAAAATGGGAAAAGTAGGATATTCTAAGTTATATGAACATAAAATTTCAATTTCTTCAGTATATTAATTTCTATATTTTTTATAAGGAATTGCAGGAATCAAAGAAATAATTAGATATAAATAATTTTCATTTGTTATATAGATAATTCAACATATTCCATCGAATACCTAATTTCTTTTTTCATCCAACACACACTTATTATTTACACAATAATATAAGTATTTATATGATTTATTTTTTTCGATGTATTCTCTATTAATATTAGTTCATTATAATGTTCTGACATAAGCTTATGTTTATATAATATAAACTTTAAAAAAAATCTCATAATAATTTTTTATATAATTTAATTTCTTTTCTTTATTCATAATATGGCTATTACATATAGATTAATACAAACATTTTGAACTCGGTACCTTTAAACTGTTAAAAAATATGATATGAATTTTATTTTATAATATTATTATATAACATGAGGGGATATATTATTAAATTACCATATAATATCATGTATTATTTATTCATTATACCCTTCAATGTATTAAATCTCACCATTGTTTTATTCTTTACAACATATTTTGTATAATCCTTAGATTCAAAAAGTAAATAAACATATAAATATTAGAACAATATAAAAATAATTATAATGTGAGGAAAATAATTTTGTCATTTGTAATTATTTATAATATATGTTCATAATATAACATACAAGTGTTTTAATACTGTAATTTATTTAATGCTTTTTAATTTTAAAATGCTTTTTCTTATGGCTTATATAATTAAATTTTTGTGAATTATAGATAAATACATAATATAATTTATTAATTTTAGAAAATCTGTTCCATAAAATGCATATAAAAAATATGAAAATCTTTTATATTCAACTTTTATATATCTAAAAAATTTTATATCAGGGGTAATATCCATAAGATGATTTGTGCTAAAATTCTAATAATATTATAATTAATAATAGAATAAATTATAAGATACAGGACTATTTGAGTCATTTAATTCATTTCTCACTGTATGGAGCGATTGGTTTTCATAAATGTGTCCCAATGTTCCATTTTTAAATATGTTATATAATCTGTACCATAGTATTTTGTATACTTTTATTTTCTTTTTTATCCATGTTCCGGCTGGTGTATACTAAAAAACATAAGAATTATTCAATATATTTTTTATTTATAGTATTTCTGTTGTATAATAGTAAATGTTTAATAAAATCGTTAATGTTTGTAGATTTATACTATTTTTATTTTTACTATATATAAAATGGAAAAAATGAGTATAAGTCCAAATAATGGAAATGTAATTTTCATGCTTTTTATAAATGCATTAGAGTTATATGTATCCATATTAATTTGTTCATGCAATCCCTGTGAAACCTTATATTTTTTTACTGTTTTCTGGATATTTACAGTATTATCTACGACGTTGCATTTTAAGTTTGATATTTTTTCAAAAAGCGCTCTTACAAATACATCATTAAACACAATACAATATTTGTCAGTTACATTATCTTTACATTGATCATTTAATTCTTTAAGTATTCTAATATTATCTTGAATGTATGTCGAAAAATTATTACTGCATTTAAAATTAGCATTCTGAAGATGATGTTCTATTGTTGGAAGGTCGGTAGCATAATCATATAATGATTTCATATTTTGAACCATATTCTCACTACCAATATATGTTCGAATATCGCAACTCTCCCATTTTGAAGATTTTATCCATATTGGTCTTATTAGATCAATAACCTTTCCTATTTTGCTGTAATAAGCACCATTTTTAAACTGAACATTTAAGAAATCATACACCCACAAGATTAATGCTGTGCACATTTCGTTATCTGGTAAATTTTCAAAAGGTATAAAATCCAAATATTCTCTAGCACCTGTAATAATTAAACAAATATTCTTAATATCTTGAATTTCAGTCGAATATTTTTCTAATTCATCGCAGTCTGGCACACCAAACCCTATAGTGTCATTTAATTTTCTATAGTTCATAAGAGAAGGGAATAATTTTTTAACATTTTCCTATGATTTAAGTGCAAAACGTTAAATAAATAATATATAAATAGTTGTACATTCAATTCAATTTTAAGTTGTTCTTGACATGTATTATTATACTAGAAATTCCGTGCAAAGATGAATTTTATTAAATTTTTGTTATATACTAAATCAGACATTTTTAATGCAATCAAAAATTATTATTTTTATAAATATATATTTTGAATTTTATAGATAATTACGTCTATATAACATTACATATAATAGAACAGATAAAAAAATTAATGCACTATTATTATTTTACTACAGATACAAAAAGAACTATAATGTATACATATTATAGTGTAACTGTAAATCGCTTACTAAAATATATTTTTAATAATTTATTATACATATATGTAATGCTAGCGTAGTTTATAGGGTAATTAATTTAATATGTAATAAATTTTATATATAATAAATCAATATATTTCATGTACGTATCTTTTGTAGATATGAATACATTATTTCTATTTTATTATTCGCACCAAAAGACCCATATATATTTATATGTGCAATAATAATTCTTTTATATAATAGAACTAATATATTTTTTATAATAAATTTTTCTAAATTATAAAAATATAAATTATAAATAAATATAAAAGTTATTAAGTAATAAAATCTCTATAGTTATAATTAATAATATTTAATATATATATTTATATAAAAATGAATGATACACATTAAATGGGTAATAGTATTTAAAAATAAAAATATAAAATTTGTTAAAAATATTTTATTATTTATAACATCAAGAGCTGAAATAAAAATTACAGAAACAAAATCCATTATATAAATATATACTTATTAAAATTAATGAAAATTTTTGTTAAGTATGAGAAATTAAAAACACAAAACTTTTTTTCAAAAAATTGCTAAAATAGTTAAAACTGATCACTTACAATTTAAGAACATCATATACATACCAGTATATATTAAATGATTGTAAAAAAATTTTGCAGGATTTACATGTTGAAATTATAATTTTAATATATATAACTTTAATTGTTTATTTACACATATAAAATTTAAATATATATGTTTTTACAATAAGTGAATGTACGGCAATATTTTTTATATTATATTAACAATTTTAGTAAAATTAATTGTATTATTTTTTTTCATTTCATTAAAATTATGTTTCGATTAATTATTTTACTCCAGTTTTAATAGTATAATATAATTTTCTATTACATATTTTCAATATATAATTTTATTGTTATATAATAGTGTGAATACATAGAGGTAAATATAATTTTTTTCGAATATAATAATGATAATATTAGTTTTATATATATTTTTATGAAAATGTATTATAATTATTAGTTTATTAAATCTTTTTATATTTATATGTTAGTTTTATTATATTTCTTATATTTTAGTTTGTAGTGTTCAGAATTTTCCATTAGATGATTGATTTCAAGTTTAATCATGATAAATATATTATTATAATTTACAATATTTTGTTTTATATTCCCTTAAAATTTGTCAATTTTTAATGTTATATGAATCAGCTTATAGTATTTATGTTATTTTTTTATATAAAGCATTATAGATTCTAATTGAATGTATTATAGCAATTTACATGAATTTGAACTAATAATTAAAACGAATAGGTATGAATGATTTTACAATTTGTAATAATATTTTAAGAGTTAAATGTATAAGAGATATTAATATTATATATATTCATTTATTCTTACATATTTTATATATACATAACGAACATATTTATGATATAATAAATGCTTATTTAAGAAATATTCTACAATTTTATTTTCACAGCACATGGGTTAAAAATAAGAATTGGTATTTTCTGCTACATTTATTATTTTTATATACATTTATGTTTAGTATATTCTACAATTTGTTGTTTCATGAAATTATTATATTAACTATATTAATGTGTGATGCATAATATATCATAATTTTTATAAAATATCAAATCGTTAATATGTTACTATATTGTATATATGGGTATAAGAAATGTAAATATATATAATTCGCATTAACATGATTTCTTTTTCAAGGATATAAGAATTAATGAATTATATTTTTCATATATTATGTTATTTAATATTTTTATTTTATATATTATACAGCACTCTTAGAGTTATTATATAAAAAATAAGAAGAAAAAAGCATTTTTACATATTTTTTTATTAATAACACATTAGAATTATACATATATGTTATGGAGAGTAATAGAATTATATAATTTTTATATAGCATTATAACATAAATACTGTATTCTAGTGAGCTAATTAACTTTTATTTTTTATTTAAATTAATTATATTTTTATAATATTTGATATATTAGTTAATGAGGTATAACTTATGCTACAAATAATTGATACTCTATTTTTAGTTATGTAATCATTAATAATATAGAATATATATGACACTATTGCAGCAATTTATAATTTAGAAAGAAGAAAATGTATTATTCCATACAATACATTTCATATTTTCAAATATCTATATTGACATATATATAAACTGCTTTATTGTTTTTAAATCTCCCGTAAACTTATATAATATTATGTGAGGTGTGGTGAATTGATGTGTGTTATTATTAAGCATATATAAAATAAAATATTATAAAATAATTAAAATGCAACATCCATAAGTAAAATAAAAATTTGCTGAACAGAATATTATGTTCATCATATTCTAATAATTTTTTTAGTATAGTCCTATCAAATATTTTCTCAAAAGTTATATAATTTTATAAATATGTATTAAAATTATGACACTTAAGTATAAGGATTGCACTGAGGGTGGCGTATTTGTGCACTTGGATAATTAAAAGATAAATATAAATATGATAAGTGCAACGTAGTTGTGTCTTTTGTGTCTATTATAAGGGAAAACTCTTATTAAACACCTCCAGGGGGATTTTTTTTTTACTTATTTTACTGATTATATAATGAATTTACGTCTAATGATATAAGCAAAAAGACCAATGAAATTTACAATGATTTCTTTAATGTTGAATTTCCTGCAAATAACACATGTGATAAATATTATAATCCAAATAATACTACTGATAATGAATAGGTAAATTTCAATGTCATTTACAATCTATATAAATATTTTTATAATATAAAGTATAATGAAAAATAGAATGAAGACGAATTTTTTTTTTAACCCTCGTACAACATTACAAATGAATATAAAGACATAAGGGAAACTAAATATAGTATAATATTAAAACAAATGTAAGAACCCCCTTTCCAAAATAACAATGCATTTAGTGTTATAGTTTCAGTTATTCTAATATTGGTAATATTAAATATGTTATTTTTTGATTATAAAGTTAATTATGATATTATTTATATATATTTACAGTATAAAATATTTGTCTTAGATCATTTAATAAAATAAAACCTTATAATATATAAATTTTATGTTTAATTTACATTTTCGTTTTTTATAATAATTTAGTTTACGCATTATGTAACATATGTAAGTAGTAGAATAAAAAAAATAAAAAATATGTTAGCTTATATAGATAAGGAGTGCATTGAAAAGCAAATAACTGAAATACCCACAAATATGTCAAATGATGTGAGATATAATATACCATATCATTGTGTCTAATTTTACATTAAATATATAACTGGAAGAAAATATTACGAGTAATTATCCTTTGCTCACTTGATTGCAATTCAATTTCTTTATTGTATTTAAAAATGTTATTTTTATTGTACATATGTAATGGGTTGACGATAATAAAGAGGCAATATTTAAATAAATATTCAGTATTTATGATACTATTTAGCAATATAAATACAAGTATGGATATTTTTATATTTAGATGAAAATAAAATGCTATTATACATAATTTCCGTGTGTTTTTAAGAAAATAAACAGAATGTATAACTAATAATATATATTCTTTTAAATATGTTAATAAATTATTTACATTCTAACTATGAATTTATCTTTCATTTGTTAGCTATATTATATAGTTTGTTCAATTGGGGATGTATTTGTATTTATTGTAATACTGTTTTAACATCGTATATTAATAAGCATGATGTTATTTAATAATTAATAATAGAATTATATTAAAATAATGTATTACAAAAAAAAGGTAATTTTTTTATTTTTATTATGTGTTTAAGGTATTACACTCATCAATAATCTTGATAACCGGGTTAAGATCATTTATAATATATTAGTGCCGTATGTAAAATATATGTCATAGATAATATTGAAATTTAATAAATTTAAATTTACATATCTTCTAATTATATATATCTATATATTATATATATAATTTAAATCTGTGTATCATTTGTTATATTGTTAATATTTTTAATTCTTTAAGGTTTTATTGTATGTATTTATTATATATATTAACAATGATGGAGGTCCTTATTGCATATGCATTTGTTTACACATTTCCTTCGCGCATGAGAATACGCTATTATAATATTATCTGGATTTTATATATCATCTAACAATTTTTGCTTCTTTATTATCAATTATGTATTCACTAGCTTAAAGGGGTAAAGTAACTGGGCGAAAAAAATGTATAAAAACATTTATGAAAGTTGTATATGCATATTAACATTTTTAATAATAGATTAATTAAATATATGAATAAAATATATGGATTTAATTAAAAAATTTCATTTAACTTATATTTAGTATATAAAGAAATATCTTATAACTGAAAACTAAAATATTATTTTATCAGAAATCAAAATTTTGTAAGATTAAATAAAATTTATTTTAAACATAATATTTTTACAGATTCTTTATGTGTATAATATTTTTGTAAATATTTCTACAATGCTTAAGATGTGATCTTCATTTACAATATTGTTATACATGCACTAAAAAAATTTTTAGCTTGATCATAATTATAACTGGTGATTAATTCATTGATATTATTTAGACTATGAATGAAAACTATACATTTTTTTTTTTTATTAATCCATATAATAATAGATTCTACGAAAGAATTATATATATTAAAATCCTACCAATAATATAATTTATTGTTTAATATGTTGTAACCTATTAATGCTTTTACGATTATTGGAAATCTGAAATACATTACATAACTAATTATATAATTATTTAAACATAAGAATTACATATAGATTATTTTAAAGGAAATATT